GTCTGGGACTAAAAATGGAGCAAAAATGGGGGAGGGGAGCAGGGAACAGAGGCTGCAGAGTGGCAGTGTGGGGTACAACTTGCATGTGGGCTTGTACCTGCACTGGCACTGCAGGCCCAGCACAAACCAGGAATGGGATTGGATTAACTTGCTGCTCAGTGGGGAACCTGAACCTCAGCAGGTCCAATAACTCATCTGAGTGGACGGGAACCCTCACTTTGTGCTTCTGGAATACCCTGGGCGTCTGTGGGTGAGCCATGGTGCAGTGGGGTGGGCAACTGGGGCATCAAAGGCCAGAGGCAATGCTAGAAAGCAGCTGCACAGTGTGGATGCAGCAGGGAACATGGCCGAGATGCAAGGAGGGTACACGGCATGATGATGAAAGCCAGCCTCAGGAGAGCTTATGCTGCATGTGCATGTTTATAAGTTACTTGACTTAATTTTTCTGTGAACTTCTGCCTCGTGCCCTCCCCCAGCTCTCTGTTGTCAGTGTGACATGTTTAAAATGCACCTGTTTAAAAGTAAATTGACCTGCTAGAGCAAAGAGGTTCTGCTAGGGCTTCAGAAAAATCTTCATAATTTCTGACAGGCTCTGTACAGATTTGGAATATGTTTCTGATGGTGTAAATGCTTCATGGGTAGCAGTCCAAGGCAGCATGTTGATTTTCTAGTATCCCCAAGGCTGGATGTAGGGCTGGCTTTGTGTAGATTCCTGTTTACCGCATGCAGCTGGGCAACCTCTGCCGCTGACCTCTGACTAGCTTCATAAGGGAGGCCCATGCAGTGGTTTCTGGTGCAGCTTCCAGTTGAGCTTTAGAGGCCGTGCTGAGTGGGATTCCCCCTCTCCCCACATCTGGAACAGTGCCTGGCAAATTGCAGCTGCTTAGTAAAGATCTGTTGGATGAAGGAGGGAAGGAAGGCTGCTGTCTGCTAGTTAGGGAGCAGTTATGGTCTGTACTTGCAGGTGTTACCTCACTTGACCCTTCTAACAATCCTGGAAGTAGCTGTTGCTGGCTCATTTCACAGATGATGAAGCCGAGGTTCAGAGAGTATTCTGTGGGCCACGCAGCCCCAGAGTGTCTGAGCCAGGGCTGCAGTCTGGTCTGCCTGGCCGTAGAGCACACGCGTTGGGCGAGCTACTGCCCAGGCTGACATGGCTTCAGTACTACTGACTCATCCTCGAGTGTGAACAGGCCCCTGTAGCTGGCACTGCCTGTTCCCAAGCCCCTCACACTGTCTGTCTAGACTCAAGTCGATGGAGGCTGGAGTGGGGGAAGGTCCAGAATTGTTCAAAAAACAGTCTTGAATGACCATGCCTGTATGAGGCCACTGGGAGTTGAAGGGACAGGCAAGAACTTGGGTCCAATCCTGTGTGACCCTCAGCAAGTTGCTCTGTGCTTCGATTTTATTATCTGAAACCAGCAATCTCCCCTCACGAGGACCTGGCTCAAGGAGGGCTCCCTCCCACCCTACCCCAGGCTAAAAATCATTGTAAAGCTCAGTGACATCTTGTCACTCAGTGACATTTTAGACAAGCCCACACATTGGTTTGTGTTGGCTGTCAAGATTGAGAGCATTTGGGGGTGCCGGCAGGGTTGGAGAAGGGGTACATGATGGTGTGCTCTCCCCAGGCTCTGGGGTTTGGCTTCCAGACAGCAGGGCATACCGTCGACAGCATATGCACATTGTCCATTTGGAGCAATTGCTGGTGTCTCCCTGGGGGATAATTGGGCAGACTCTGTGCTCCCTGTTCTTGGTCGGAATGTGTGAAGGAGGACATGGAATGTCCATGTCTCCTACCCTCTGACCTCTCAAAAGGAGTGCAGGCAGACTGCAGGCCTTCTCCCAGGCTGGGCGGGGATGAAGGGACTCTGGAAGGCTCCCGGAGTTGTGGAAAACAACAGCTCTCTTTGTCTGGCACTTACCCCATTGGGGGCCTGTGTTCCACACACTGTATAGCATGAATTCTTCACTTGGGCTCTGTGAGGTGGTTACTGTTTCTCTGGTGCACCTCTCTGCAGATGAGGAAATGAAGCCCAGAGAAGCTGGTGCCTTTTTCCTGGTCCTACAGCAGGTGGTTGGGGCTATCAGGATTTGAAACGTGGGATGAGCCCAGAGTCCCCACTTGTCTCACTGCATCCCCCACAGGAAAGAGCTGGCATTTTCTCTGATGCTGCTGTGGTTCAATTGTTGGGCACATTTGCACATCTGTTCATCCCTCTGTTTTTGGCCAGTGGGTTGGAGTGTTGTGTGTTCCTGAGCAGGGTAGTGTGGGGAAGTGGCCACAGAAGTGCTGTTAGGGATGCTAATGCTTGAGACTTGGGCTGGGACAGCCAGTGGGTGCAGGAGGTAGGTGGTCACCCCACAGCCCACCTGCCTGTCCCAGGGCTTGTGTGAGGTATGTAGGCACAGATGGCAATATCCTTGACCCGAAATGCCCAGGGACCCATTCAGGGAACAAGACATAGACAAGTTAAGGGCCAGCCCCTCTAGGTAGAGGGATATGGTGACAATGTGAAGGTGTAGTTCGTCAGCCCTGGGGCAGAAACAGGGACTCTGGAAGGGTAGACAGAGATTCAGTATGCTGTATGTTCACTTGATTGGGCCCAGACATCTGGGTTAAGGAGCAATATGAAAGCCTGAGGCTACACTTGATCTTTCTTGTGCCTTGTTTTCTGGGCCCTTTAAGTGGGGGAATTCCAAGCCCAGAGTCACAGGATTTCCTGTTGATGTCTGATTTCTCCAAGAGCTTCAAGGTCTTGTTCATGGCCAGGCTTTGGAACTTCCTTCCTGCCACTGTGGGCATGTACTTTGGGAGGACAAGGCCAGGTTCATAGTGTTCTTAGGGCAGGAAACCATGCCTGTGTGTACAAAGTCTAGCCCAATCCTCTATGGTGGCTCACTCCTCTGCCCTGTCCGGCCACCCTGTAGGGGTCAGCAGTGAGCTGGGGAGAACAGCGGTAAGGGTGGGGGGTGGCCACTGTGAGCAGAGCCTCCCTTTCATTAGGCTCTACCCTACTCCTCCTGCCACCACCCTGCTTCTTTGTCCCTAAAGCCATGATATGGACATTGGAGGGGGCTTTGGTCCCCTAGTGTACCTGAGGGCAGGCTGAGCCATGAGAAATCTGGCAAGTCTTGCTGAAGAGCCTTTCTGTCTTGCCCCTGCCCTGTGGGTTCCCCAAGCGGAGCAGAGAGGGAGTCCTGCCTGCCTGGACACGTCAGTCCAGCCTCCAGCAACTCTTGCTAGACCCTCAGTCCACATCCCATGCCTAGACCCCTGGGGGGCAGAGCACGCTCCTACCTCCTGAGCCCCTCCTGCCTGGGGACCCTTCTTCCATGTGATTGACATCTGCATACCCTGATGAACTTCACTCACTCAAGAATTGTCCTTATGATACTGTGCAGTGAGGGAGGGATGGGGTTCAATATTCTAGGAGGCAAAACAGGCTGGAAAGAAATTCTCAGAAGCGGTATGTTTGTGTCATCCCGACACGACACCGACGCGTCCAACTGGTACCTCTCTCCTTGCTAAGCCCGACCATCCTCCTTTGCCCATTTTTCTAGGCAGCCACGACCAATCCGTCAGAGTTGACACTTGGACAAAAACTATTTGCTGCACTTGCAGGAAAAGGCCTGGGTGTCAGGGTGTCAGAAGGTCGCAGAGACTGCTGAGTCGGGTGTGGCCCCTCCGAGCTTGAGCTCGAGGGCCCTGGCCTGGAGTCAACAGGGGCCTGGCTCAGTGTGGGCACTTCCCTCGGAGCTCAGTTTGGATCCCACTCCTCCCAGAAGGAAGCCTACCACTTCTGCCAGGGACAACAGTTACCTGCCATGGATGAAGTTTGCTCTCCACTCTGCTCCTATCCCAAAGACTCAGTGACTCTTACTTTCTCCATGGTAGGAGGGTTACAGGTTACGTGTTTTTGAGGGGCAGATGATCTGAAACTAACTCATGGTGCAGGAAAGAGTCATTGAAGTCTGACCAGTCTTGGTTCAAATCTGGACTCTGTCGTGTGCTGTGTGAAACTTGGGCAAGTTACTTTACCTCTCTGAGCCTTAGGTATCATCTGGAAGGCAGGACTGCCTTGGGGAATAAATAAGAGTGTGAATACAGAGCTGTTTACCTATGCTTGAGTGATGTTCTGTACCTGAGACACACTCTGGTTCCCTGAAAAGGGGTGACAGGAGGCACAAGAGGGAGCTGAGGTGGCCACTGACACCCCAAGAGGTGGCCCAGCATGATGAGGACTGAGCAACCTGGGAACCAAATCAATGACACTGACCTCCACAGCACCATCCTTTGTGGGGGCTTACTTGGGCTAGGCTACCTGCCAAGTACTTAAGTGCATCTCTCACCTAACCAGCCCACAGTACATTGTCACAGCTATGATTACGGTCCTTCCACACCTGGGAGTCTGGGTGCAGTGATCAAGGGACAGCCCAGGTTGAGCGATGAATGAGAGCAGCTGGCTAGATCCCTGATTGCTCTGGCCAGCATGTGCCTGGCCGTGGCCCAGCCTGTGTCTGACCCTCCATGGAAGTGCACTGAGGGCTTCAGGCTCTGGTGGAAAGACAGGTGTTTCAGAGGTGGGGATGTTTGCCTCCACCCACTGTGGCTCTTGGGAAGGTCACGCACTCTCTCCAGGCCTCAGTTTATCCATCTGTGAAATGGAGATGCTGTGTTGGCCTTGCAGGATTGTCATCTGGGAGTAGATGCTGCATTCCCCGGCATGCGCTGACACAGAGCATGTCCATAGCCCACAGAGCTGCAGTGACATGCGGGTAGTTGTGCAGGGGAACCAAGCCAGTGCCAGCAGCTTGGCCCCGACCATGTATCTCTGAGTCCCCACAGTGCCAAGGCCATCACCGAGTGAAGAAAGCATTTCTTTTCCCAGAAAGCATTTTATCTTTTGAAGGAGGGGGCATGACCATCAAGTGCACCCTTCAGATCTGCTTGTCTTTGTCCCTCCTCAGTCCTGACCTTCCCTTCCTTCTCTCCCCAGCAACATGTCCAATGCCTTGGCTAACGCGGTATGCCAGCGCTGCCAGGCGCGCTTCACCCCTGCTGAGCGGATCGTCAATAGCAACGGAGAGCTGTACCATGAGCACTGCTTCGTGTGTGCCCAGTGCTTCCGGCCCTTCCCTGAGGGCCTCTTCTACGAGGTGAGGATGCTCCCAGGACCTCAGCCAGCTGCCTTCTTAGAGCCCTAGCCTCCAACCCAGTTCTGTGTCTGCCCTCCAGTAGCCTGTGGGCGGTGCCTGGCTGGGGTCCTGACCACTGTTTGATGGGGTAGTTATGCCAGGCCTTGAGCCGAGCTCTGCTCAGGCCAGTGCAGAGCCTTGCTTGCTACACCTTGTGAGCCCATCCCTCACCTGTGAGATGTGAACAGTGCTCCTCTGGTGGCTGTGGATGCTGAAAGTCACCTTTCATCCCACTTCCTATGGGCATACTCTGGGAGGCCCTGGGGCGGCAAACACTCTGCCCTGTGCACTTACCCTCTCTTAGGATCAGACAGTAAATAGAATAACTATAATGTATATGAGATGGTGCTAAGTGCTCTGGTTATAAGGGATCTTGGAGTGGGGAGGGTGGGGTGTTAGGGAAGGTAATGTTTGAACAGTCATGAAGGAGGTGACAGAGCCCTGCTCATGGCTGCAGGAAGGAAGAGCATTTAGCAGGCAGGTACAGCAAGTGCAAAGGGCCTGAGGTCAGATTGTGCAGGACGTTTGGGGAGCAGTGGTAGGAGGCCAGTGTGAGGGAAGCAGAGAAAAGGAGACGGAGTAGCAGGGATAAGGGCAGGGAAGCAGATTTTGTTTGGCCCTGCGGACCTTTGTAGAGCCTTTAGATTTCACCTTGGGAGAGGTAAGAGCCATTTCAGGGTATGGATCAGAAGAGTCACATGGTCTGTCCCACACCGGGAAAGGACCACTGGTTGCTGTGCTGAGGAGCGACTGAGGGGCACAGGAACAGAAGCTAGGGAGAACAGATAGGATAAGATGCTGGATTATTGGAATAATCTAGATGAAAGTGAAGGGAACTAGACTGGGCCATACTTGTTCACAAGAGAAGATTGTTTAGATTTTCAACGAACTTGCAAACTGTTGTTAAACAGCCATTGTCAAAAATTAAGTTGTATAAATGTATAGAGAGATAAAATTTATTAAAAACAAAGGTAACAAAACTCAAAACCCACCACTTCCTAATTATTTTATTATATTTTACTATCATCTATATCTTTGAAGTTATTTCTGTCCACCCGTGTGGAAGACATACTATACTATGGTGGTATACTACTGCACGTCTCTTCTTAGCTCTGGGCCAGCGTTGTGTTGGTAGCTTGAAACGGGCCATGATGGGGATGTATACACCATAGAAACTGGCAAAAACTACAATCAGCACCGCTCCTTCCACCAGAGCTGGTTGTTAAACATTTACCAACACATCACTGGTGGTGATCAGTGGCAGATGCTAGACAGATTTCAAAGGTAGAGCTGATGGGATTGGCTGATGGATGGCTGTGGGTGAGTCATCTGCCTGGCAAAGTAGGAGTAGCTGTTCTTTATGATGCCCCCTGGGAAATGCTGGCCAACTGTACAGGCGGTGGAAGGGGTGGGCAGAGCTCTGAGAGTGGTGGCCATGTGCCTAGAACAAAGCCAGGCACACAGTAGGTGCTCAGAAAGTGTTCGTTGTTGAATGAATTTATACCCCTGCTGCCTCTATAGGTCACTGGGTAGGGATACATCCAGTATCAGCCTAAGAGACACCCATTTCAGAGAACAGGGGAAAACCAAGTGAAATTGTCAAGGAAGAAGAAAGCAGAGGCAGGTGTGGCCACTGTTGGGGCCAGCACAAGGGCCCTCATTGCCCAGACAGATAGGGACAGTGACTGACTGGCTGATGTCCCCACTGGATCCTGCTGGCTTCAGGACTCAGTGCTCTCCCTTGTGCTCCCCTCCACTGCCCTTTCTGTGTCCCCTCATTCTGTATACCTTCCCTGGGTCTTTTGTGGCTTCTGGGGAAATGGACTTCTCACACAGAGAAGACACAAGGAATGGGGCAAAGTGACACATATGGTTTAAACTTGACCCCAGCTCTCCTAGCCAGTGCTCCCACCTCCAGCCCTCAGCTGGCTCCCAGGACCAATGAGGCCAGCATCTTCAGCATCTTCAGCGAACAGCAAAGCCCCTTGAGATCTGGCTTTGAGGAGCTCCCTGCTTCACCAAGGCCCCTCACTTTGCGCTCCCCTTGTTGAACAGGCCCTCCCCTTTCCCTCCAGGACTTCTGCCTGCTGCCCGCCCCTCGGTCTGTAATGCCCTCCGCTCAGGATCCCACCCTGCCAAGTCTTTCAGCTGTTTATCACTTCCTCCAGGAAGCCTTCTCCAGGGGGAGGGTTGGGTTTTTCCTCTGCTCCCTGCAGGGTAGCACTTGTACAAAGTGGAGTGCTCATGTAGCCTAAGGGCAGGTCCTGATCCTACAAAGACCAGCCAGGGCAGCTTGGGGAATGATGGCTAGTTGGCTTGTCCTATCTCTGTTGGCCCCATTTGCAGTTTGAAGGCCGGAAGTACTGCGAACATGACTTCCAAATGCTGTTTGCTCCGTGCTGTGGATCATGTGGTAAGGGATGGTGACAATACGTGCCTTTTCTTGGCCCGGGAACTGCGGGCAGGATCATGGGGCGCCCTTCCCTGACTACCTGTGCCCTATCTTTCTGAGCATGAGCCCCTGCAGACATTACCTTCTCAAGCTCTGGGAATGGACCAGGCTTGGAGCAGGGGTGAGGAGGGGGAGGAGCATGTGCTCTCCCTGAGGAGAGCGCAGGGACCTCTCTTTTTTAGGTGAGTTCATCATCGGCCGAGTCATCAAGGCCATGAACAACAACTGGCACCCGGGGTGCTTCCGCTGTGAGCTGTGTGACGTGGAGCTGGCTGACCTAGGCTTCGTGAAGAACGCAGGCAGGTGAGATGGGCGTGCCCAGATGAGACAGGCAGGGAGGAGGGCCTCTCACCACAGGCATTGTGTACTGAGCACCAGGCCCGTTCCAGGCACTGTGGCCTGTGCCAGCGTGGCTGCCGGCCCCACCACATCCCTGCCACATAGATAGAAGCACCCCAGTTTACTGGTGAGGACTGAGGCTGGAGAGAGTGAGGAGTGACAAGTCAGGGCCCACTCTAGGCTCAAGCATGTTCCTGGGAGCAGGCTGACTGCACACAGCAAGGAAGAAGGTGGCTGGAGCAGGAGCCATTAAAAGCAGTGGATGGATAAGGAGCTTTGAGTCAGGTTACTACTGCCTGCCACCCCACAGTGATGACACTAGCTGTCTACTTCCCTTCTATACCCATGGCTAGATGCTGCTGGAGAGAAAGCACTCAACCAGGGGGCCCAGATTCATTCTTAAATTGAGGGCCATCAATCTCATTAGTGCTCTGTGCTAGGTCTCCTTAGTAACTTAAGTTCAACCTTCTGGGAAGGTTTGCTCTTTTTTCCTCACTCCTTCTCCCACAATGGTCTCCACCACACCCCATCCCCCCCATCTCCTGCCCCATGGTGATGAACCTCCCCTCCCACCTCCCTGAAGGGACAGGCTCTTGGACCACCCTTGCTGCCTAGCATCTGTGCTACCCCCAGCCTGGTTGTGTTCTTGCATCTCCCAAAGCCCCGCTCACCCCATGTCCTCTTACGAGGGCTTGCAGCTTCAGTAGCCTTCTTTCTCACTTCCTAGAGGATCAGGCTGGGTAGCTCCCATGGTTCACAATGCCCTCTGAGTCTTCCTTGTATGTGATTCTTGATTTTCTGTAGCCATTCCTGGCACACATACTGGCTCCTCCCATCTGCTCCCCATTGCCGGTTATCCCCTGCGTCCCCATCGGCAGACCCAGGGATCACTGCTGGCCTCTCTGCCATAGCACCCCTTGCTCCTTTTGGATGCTGCTGTAGTGATCTCATGGGAGGCTGTGGGGGGTGACAGAGCCTTAGGGCCCTGTGCTGATGAGCAGGCAGGATCACCTGACAGATGTGTGCCTGAGTGAGTCCTGTTTCCTTCCTGAGCCGCATGCAGCTCACACAGTGCCCCCAGCCCCACTGCTTCATTGGGAACATCTGGAAGAGGCTGGAAGTGCTCAAGAAAGTAAGGTGTGACACCAAGGTAAAGTGTTGCTGTAATGGAAGGAAGCAGGGTCCTCACTTGGACCCTGCCTGTCTGCGCTGGCACTCTGAATGAAGGCTGTGGTATGTAATCTTCGGGTCTGTGTGTGGCGGCCATACCAGGGGTTGTCAGAACCACGGTCCAGAGCAAGCACTATCTCTGCTCTGTTTACCTCCACTTTGCCATTATCGGGTTGAAGGGAGAAGTTCGAGGAAGGGTGTTGTGTTAATCAGACACAATGATCTTCAGAATCTTAGAGTACAATTCTGTTAATGATCAGTATAATTGAGTACAAAAAAAGACCTGTTAGGGTGATATGTGCCACATTATGAAGTAAAACAGCTCAAAGGTTGGCCAGTCGAGGCTGGTAGAGGCCTCCTGGGAGGGAATGGGGCTACGGACACCCCTGCTGGGTCTGAGTTAGTGAGAGGCAAGTTCGTGCACTAGGACCCGGTTCCCCGGCCATGGCACCCTCAGGCAGTAACAAAGCGTGGTTGTCTGCCCAGGCTGTGTGCTCGACCAGGACTCAGACTGGGCAGCTGCTGAGCAGCTCTGGGGATTGTCAGGTCATGTGCAGGTCTGTGGGAGGGTTTACAGCAGGGGGATCAAGAAACGATGTGCTCCACAGGCCATGTTTGCTGTATGTCACCTGGCGACCAGCCTGAAATGTACTTACAGTGTTCAGGTATAACAGTTTGTGTCCCCTAAACTCAGGGGTCATCTGGCAGAGGTGCCACAAAGGGAACTCAAAGCACTTTGCACTTCACAGGAAATATTTAGATACCCTTCCTACTCCTCATGAGATTCCCACATCCCCTCTTCTCATTGGGCCTTTTGCAGCTGCGTTCCGGGTTCTTTCTGCAGAGCTTTGCTGCTGTGTTTCTGCAGTGGGAAGGAGGCTGGGAGCTGGCAGGCGGCACTTGGGAAAGAGAGACACTTGTGGTTCAGGAGTTATTCCTCTGGCCTCCTTGCCCCACCCCCTGACCATGGAGTAAAGTCACTGAGTTTCCAGCAGTTGTAAATGAGCGGGCCAATGCAATCTGCAGAGGGGCCAGCTGACTGGATCTAGTCAACAGTTCTCCCTTTCTAGGGATTTGTGCACTGGGTAAGACAGGACTTGGCCCTGGGTGATGAGTTCCCACCTTGGAGGGAGTAGTGGTGACCTGCTGAGATTTCAGTTCCTTTTCTCAGGCATGGCTGGGGAGAAGGTGGGCTACTTCTTTGTGAGTCTGGGAGAAACCAGAGAACCCTAAGGGAATTGTCTTGAAAGAGTCTGCAGCAGTTCAGGGTGGTGTCCAGAGCTCACAGCTCTGACCTGGCACTCAGTGAGCTCTCATTGGTTTTCCCTTCAAAGCTGGGGGGCGGGCCTGAGAGCCTTTTGCCACAGAGCAGGTTGCACAGGGTGTTGCGGAACTTCTCGGCCACAAAGAAGTACATGATGGGGTCGAGTGCCCCATTGAGGCTGGTGAGGCAAGAGGTGATGCGGTTTCCCAGGGCCAGGGCACGCTGGGCGGTGCATGAAGCACCACTGCCGTGGTAATGCAGCACGTAGACGGAGCGGTGGACGTGGTAGGGCACGAAGCAGACCAGGAAGATGGCCAGCACCACAGCGATCATGCGGACCGCCTTGTTCTTGATGCGCTTCTCCACACGGGGGCCATGCCGAAGGCTGCGGATAATCAGCAGGTAGCAAGTAACCGTGATGACAAACGGGAAGGTGAAGGCCACGGCCAGGGACACGAGCGCGTGGTTTGAGGCCTTCTCCCGGTACAGCTGCAGGCAGACAACGGTGTGGTTGGTCTGCATGGTCTGTGGACTCACCAGCAGTGGGGCCATGGCCACGGCCACCACCACCCAGAGGAAGGCACAGGCCAGGTGGGCGTAGAGGGGCCTGCGGAGCTTGAGAGACTTGACAGGGTGCACAATGGCCAGGAAGCGGTCGGCGCTGATGCAGGTGAGGAAGTAGATGCTGGCATACATGTTGAGATAGAAGAGGAAGCCGGTGAGGCGGCAGGGGATTTCCCCGAATGGCCAGTGGTTCCCTGAGAAGTGGTAGACGAGGCGGGTGGGCAGGACCAGCACACAGGACAGGTCGGCCACAGCCAGGTGCATCAGGAACACATTGGCGGAGGTGCCTAACCTGTGGTCCCGGATGAAAAGCCACAGGGCCAGGGCATTGCCGACAAAAGCCAGGAGGAAATCCAAGAGGTAGAAGGAGGCAAAGAGGATGTTCTCCAGCCACGTCTCCTGGCCACACTGATCCACAGTGGCCAAGGAGGAGTTTGCCATCAGACCTGGGGAGGCCACTTCGAGGCCATTCATGCTTCGGCGGAGGCAGAGCCCGGGAGGAGCCTGGAAGGAACAAGTGAACAGGTCCTCATAGAGGGCTGCCTTGTATGGGAGCCCAGAAAAGAGCGCTCGGATGCCTCCAGCACTTGCAAGCCCCAACCCTGGGAGCCTTGCTGTTTCATGCTCAGTGTTGCCTGGAGGACAGTGGGGGTATCTCCTATCCATCTGGGTCACAGGCTTTCTAACTTAGCAAAAAGCACAAACAGAACCAGGCCTCGCAGCTTGCCAGGCTATTGCTAGATTGACTTCCCTGAGTGGCTGCACCCTGCTAAGTATGCGAAGGTCTGGGCCTGGCCCAGTGTCCCAGAGTCCACTGTCTCAGACCCAGGGCATGGAGTTAGCACCAGGTGGGGAATGGAGAGTGAACTCCATCTGACGCTTTGGGGATGGGAGGATAGAGGGAGGGGACACATGTTTTCTGTCCTGGACCTCAGGTGTGCTATCTGAGTGGCAGGGGTGGTGCATGGGACCCCTGAGGCCCACTCCTGATGGGTGAGTGGGTTAACTATTCCCAAGAGCCTGGTGCTTGGAGCCCAGCAGCTCCTCTCCAGCCTCACAGGCCTTGCCGTGTGAACCCTGCTCATCCTGAGTCCCAGAACCCTCCCCGGGCTGCCTGCCCACCTAGGCCTCTAGGCACTTCCCACAGTGGCAGTGCTGAGTTGTCACTGCTGTCTACTTGTTTCCTGCTGGTCCCTGACCACAGCTCCCCCAGCTCCTGCCACAGAGGAAGGCCCCACCAGAAATGCATCAAAACGCTGTGTCTCAGGAGGTCAGAGTTCTGCTCTGTCCACAAGCACAGATCCCAGGGTTGTGCGAGCTTTCCGGACTCAGCCTGCCAACTCTGTTTCCGATGTTCTAATGAGGGGAGAAAGCCCTGCACTCTGGCCTCAGCCAGCAGGGTGGGTTAACTATTCCCAAGAGCCTGGTGCTTGGAGCCCAGCAGCTCCTCTCCAGCCTCACAGGCCTTGCCGTGTGAACCCTGCTCATCCTGAGTCCCAGAACCCTCCCCGGGCTGCCTGCCCACCTAGGCCTCTAGGCACTTCCCACAGTGGCAGTGCTGAGTTGTCACTGCTGTCTACTTGTTTCCTGCTGGTCCCTGACCACAGCTCCCCCAGCTCCTGCCACAGAGGAAGGCCCCACCAGAAATGCATCAAAACGCTGTGTCTCAGGAGGTCAGAGTTCTGCTCTGTCCACAAGCACAGATCCCAGGGTTGTGCGAGCTTTCCGGACTCAGCCTGCCAACTGTTTCCGATGTTCTAATGAGGGGAGAAAGCCCTGCACTCTGGCCTCAGGCCAGCAGGGAGTGCTTTACCACTCAGAGTAGTTTAACAACCAGGAGCAGATTCTTTCCCAGGAGAGCCAAGAGCCATTTCACCCAAAGATAGAGACTGGCCAGAGTGTTCTAGATCTGCAACCTCAGAAAGGCTGGGGTCGGGAGGACGCCTGTCTGTCTGGCCTGGCTTGTCTGCTTTACTCACACCTGAGGGATCAGCTCAGAGCCCTGCTGGCCTTGGCAACAGCCATTTACATCTGGTGAACCCCAGTTCTGGGTGGATATCCCCCCATCCCCACTGCCCCAAAAGACAGAGTGACATACTCCTGTTTTCATTTTGGTCAACTCGAGATCCAAAAAGGAGAGCATAGGTCCCAAACGCCGTGACTCCCTCACCAGGCTTTGCAGTGGGAGGTGTGGGCAGGAGAGGGCAGGACAACAGGAACCCCGTGCAGCCCAAGCTGTGCTCTGCTCATGCGCTGAGGTTGCTAACAGGCTTCAGCCCGGTAAACTCTCACCTGCAGCACAACTTCTAGGGCTCCCCTGGAAGCCTGACCTTCTATCCTGTGTGTCTGGGTGGGAGAGGGGCTGTCCACAGGACACAAGTGGCATTCTATCAGCTGAAGGATGAGCCCAGGCTATAGCCACGGTAGGGAGGCAGGGTGGCAGGTGGTAGTTCTCCTGGCTGAGCCTGAATACGCTGAGCAGCCATGGGCCTGGAGCAAGTCCTCTGCAGGCCTCTGCTGGCCTCAAATTTCCTCTCCTCTTAATGAATGTGGTAATACTTCTGGCAGGGGCTAATAGGAAGAGTGGGTATGTCTTAGGGGACATGGTGATGGACTATGTTAGCACAGCAGCCCCTTAAGGGAGAGGGGTCTGAGTGCTACCCCTAGGCATAGATGAAGAAACAGAGGCATGTGGGGAGGGCCGGGCATACCCTCCTGTAGTACAGGGAACAGGGCAGGTGGTCCAGGTTTTGGGTGTGCTAACTGTCAGGCTGGGAGCACTTTGACCCACCTCATCATGTCTCATCAACCAGTGGTGGGGTCCCTTAGCCCCTTGCCCCTTATGGAGGGGTGAGAGCCTCCTGGCTGAGTGGAGGGAGCCGGGGCCGTGTGAGTGAGTAGCAGAGAATATCTGGCCAGTCTATAGCCTCAAGTAAGTCGGGGGTGGGTGGGGCACATACTTAATAATACCAATTTTGATTAGTTCCCCTGGCTCCAGGGCATTTCAGGATGCCTGAAATTCTAATTCAGAGGTGATTTTCCTGCTGCTTCTATGTGTACATATGAGGGGAAAGGCTTGGAGGCTGGGAGCAGAAATGGGGCCATGTGAGTAAGGGGGTCCTGTTGGAACCCAGGGGTGAAGGAGGAGGCTACAGAGGGCTGGACCTGGGTACCTACCACTCCAGGCTGCTCCTCAGGCCCGGATCTGCCCCACAGTACAGTTGTCACCCAGCCCCTCCATGCAGGCCGATCGTAGGGACTGACAACCTACTCTGCCTGGCACAAGGTGGGCGTGCTTGTCTTAAGAGGTAGGCATCAATAACCCCATTTTAGATTAGGACACCAAAGCTCTGAGTTAGCTAACTTGCCCAAGGTTACTTGGCTAGGGGCAATGGCTCTGGAGTTGGAAGTCAGTGACGGAGACTCGGCAGGGACACCCAGCACCTCCTGGGACACTGTCTTACTTTTGGGGGCTGATAGGCCCCAGCTGCCAGATCTGGGAGTGTGCTGGGTTCTCAGAGCTCACACTCGAGTTGTCTCCCACGTTCTTCACCTCCTCTTTGGGGCCTGGCCCCAGGACCAGTGGCGAAATTTGGGGGGCCCAGCACAAAATGGAAATGCAGGATCCGTGTTCAAAATGTTGAACTTTCAAGATGGCAACAGCAGAGCATTAATCTGAGTGTGAGACCCTGCCTGACCACACAGGTGGCGTAGTCCATTGTGGCCCTGGCTGAGTGTACCAGCACCTGACTTTATGCCTCCTGCCCAGCGTCCTCGGCCTCCTACTCCCTCTGAAGGCTGCATGCACATGCACACTCTAGACTGAGACTTGATTTTAAAAATGCTTTCCGACTTCTTTCTGGTTTGTTGAGGTTTTTCTACCCCTCCCCCATTTTAGGAGTTTTGATATTGATTTTTGCAGCGTGGTCTGCAATGCGCCTCTGTTTCATTCTCCATGCGTTCTATAGGAGCGTAAGCCTGGCCTGCGTGTACCTGCTCTGCTCAGGGACGAGAGGCTGAGGGTGCATGGAGTACAGCCTGGGCCTGGGCAATGCCAGTGGGGGCGGGCACGGCAGTGGGTCAGGTGAGTGATGGGGAGGTGTGGCCATAGTAGGAGGCCAAAGTGGCAGTGCTGTGGTTGCCGGGCAGTCTGGCACCTCTCCCTCCTTGCTCCTCCATCTGGCTCCTGCCTATGCCACGGCAGCCTCGTGGTGAGGAGCCTGGGTGCTGACTCATTTCAGCTATGGGTCCGAGGCAAGGCACTCTCTGTCTGTAAGCCCCATCAGTGGGGCAGCAACATCACCCTTTGGAGCTGCTATGATTCAGACTGGGCTACCTTCCAGAAGTAGGTCCTACCATTATCACAGAGACATCTCAAGGACAGAGTTACCCTATCCCTACCCTGCTTCAAGTTTCCTCTTCTAGGCCCCTGAGTGCCTTGCCTACTCCCACCCTTCCCTGACCCTTACCTCTCACAGCTGGATCCAGGCAGAAGGGGCAGGAAGACCGAGGGCTGTGGTTGTGGTGGGCTGCGGCCAGCGGGTGGTGGCGCTGGTGGCGAGCTCTGTGCTGCGGTGGTGGAAGTCTGGCTATTTAAGGAGAGGAAGGGCGGCTGAAGCCCCTCCGTCCTTGAAAAGCCTCTTCATTCCCGAGGGGTCCCTTGTGTGGTGGGCCACTCCTACGGCCGCCTCTGCTGTTCCTGGGCTGTGAATATTCCAGTGTGTCCCAGCCCATGAGTCCCCCCACCCCCAGCTTGGCCACGGTGCATCACAGAGGCTGAGTGTGTGGCTATCTTCGAAGCTGTGGGGTGGGCACAGGCTGGGTGGGGGTGACTGGCTGGGACTAACAAACACAACAGGACGTTTCAGAAGGGGACAGTTTCCTACCCATGGGGGGAGGCAGGGAGGGGCTTTCTGCTGTGGCAATGGGCCCAGGCTCCCAAGCCTGCAGGGGCTGCATTGGAGGGGTCTTATGAATGGGGAGGGTGGGAGCCTAAGGAATCTCCTTTGGTCGAATGAGAGGGGACTCTTTCAGGACACTTGCTATAGGGTCCTTGTGTCCTGCCCTGTATAATTAGACTCCATTCGGGTGTGCGGAATAAACCATGGCCTTTATTTTGAGCAGGGCACAGCTGCAGGACGCCTCATAATGGGGCGCTGTCTGTGCCTGTGGGGACATCTCAGCCTGGGAAGCCCGGCCTTCACTCGTGCAGGCTTCTCCTCTGGATGGCAGGCCTGTGAAGAGGACCATTGCTGCCCACTAACCACTGTCCCCTAAAGATTCTCCCTGAGGGGTGCCCAAGACTGGGGGTGTTTGGATGTTGGCAGCAGCTCCTCCCGAGACTATCGAGCTAAGTTTGTTTCTCCGTGTCTTTCCAAAAATGATGTATCCAGTAACACAGGGAACCAAATCACCATTCCCAATTTCAAAAAGCTTTTAACTATTTTAGTTAAAACATGAATCGTGTACATAGCTCTCATTGGGAAGTAACTACCACGGGTACTACCTTAAACTTGTTTTTCACATAATCCCATGCAGTTGGGATTATCGCCCTTTACAGACAAGGAAATGAGGCTCAGAGAAGTGAAGTAACTTGCCAATGACAAACTACTAGGAAGTGGCAGAGCAAGGATTTGAACCCAAGCCTCTGTGACTCCAAAATTTCTGCTTTGCATGTGTGTTTGTTTTGTTTTCCTCTTGCACCTTGATGCTAGAATTCTGCACATTGCCTTCAGACGGGTACAGGGGATCAGATCTGTCAAAAAGACATTTCCCATCTGTGGTTCCTTCAAGAAAGCTGGGCTCTCTTGAGGTGTGGGAGGCTGGGCCCTGGGAGTGTGGTGTGGAAGAACTAGCTCACACTAGCTCGAAACGAGAATGTCTGACTGGCTGTCCTGAGCAGGGCATTTCTATTGTTGGGTGATTGCCGACAGAGGCTTTGAGGGCATCAACCATTGCAACAGAATTTTGGGGAGTCATGCTAATCTCTATA